AGCAAAATTCCCCCTGTAAAATTTAGTCAAAGGCAACCCCACCCCCCCCCCCCCCGCGTTGACTTACGTGTGACTCACTCGCGTGTTGCGCGACTTGTAGTTTGTTTTTGGACGTGAAATGACGAAATTGACCCTAAAAATGTATTTATATGTATATATATTATATGTATATATATTTTTCTTCTAATTTGGATGTTTAGAAATTAAAATATAGTTAAAAAAATAGTAAGAAATTAAATTGAAAAATTATTAAAAATTTGTTAATCAAATTAAGTATATATTTTTTTAAATACATAATAATGGAATTTAAATTTTCTTTTGATATAGAGATAATTTAAAATATATAAAAAAAAATGTAATAATAAAAATAGAAATAAATTAGAGACCCCATTGTACCTTTATAATTAAGATATAACAAAAATAAAATAATTTATTAATTGCAAAAACCGGGGGTATTTGTGTCTTTTTATATGAAATCAACACTCAAATGAGAAATTGGCTGAGTGTGCTATTTTAATAATTTCACGAGGGGTTTTTGCTAGTTTATTTATCATAGGGGGGTTTCGCTATTTAGAGATTACACAAGGGTACTTTTTGCAGTTTACTCGTAATAAGTTAATTGGGTAAATTACAACCACCCCTGGTCAAATTACGAAAACCCCCATTCTGTTTGGGTAATTACAACCACCCCCTCCCCCCTCAACTATAAATTTTCTTACACGTCCACACTTGCGGTTTCAAATTTAGTGAAATCTTCGATACTATATGGAATATTATCACTTATGTACATGTTTTGTCCCATTTGAACTCTACATTTTAAAACAAGATGATCATAATATGTGTTTTTGGACTTGTATATATTCAGATTGTGGTGCATCAGAAACTGTATTTTTACACAAAACGAGTACAAACTAGAGCACATTCCACGAAATCTAGATACTTATATTGAATTTGACACCATAAGAGCGGATGTCTAAGAAAATATCATAGTTGAGGAATGTAAATATAATTATCCAAATAAGAGAGATTTTTTTATAAATTGAACATATCTCAGAGGTGGTTGTAATTTACCCTAAGTTATTTGATCATACCTCAACAGGATCCCGATATTTTTCCTAATAAGAATATACTAATTATATTTTATTGGCTGGAAAATCAATTTGGTCCCCTACTATTTCCCAAGGGGTTGGAGATAGTGCTTAAATATTTGTTCACTGCATTTATTAATTATTATGACATATTTGACATAGCACATGCATTCTGATTTCTGTAGTACAAATGCTTCATCAGAATTGATCACCACTCACAAGTTAATAAATATCCTATAGCTACATTTTTCTTTTTATTACTAAAATATTAATAGAGACATGCATTAAATACAATAATAAAAAAGGAATTTAGGGGAGGAAAAAAAAGGTGGAAATTGAGTAAACACAAGAAATGATTATTGCCAGCTGTCTGGACAGAGTTATCCATCCAACTAAACAAATGGGCTAGGGACATATCACAATATGTATTAAAAGTGTAAATGCACATATTATTATAATGGGGTCTACATATTTACTTCTTTCGTTCCTAAATATTTGTCGTTTCTCATAACTTTTTTTAAGAAATTTTGATAAAAGTGTTTTGATTTGAAGATAAATATTGTTTTGTTTAGTTACTAATTGATTCAGAGATAGTGTTGGATAGTTAATAAGGATATAATAAAAAAAATATGTAATTACTGAAATATTGAAATTTTAAATGACAGATAGTATGGAAGAAGAAAAAAAATCTCAAAAGTGTCAGGTATTGTGGAAGAGAATAAGTACTATATATACATATCGCATAAGTAAAAGGAGTTTTAATATAAGTTTCTCGCGACAAAATATAGTAAATTACTAAAGACAGAACTAAACAACAAACATTTACTTATCGTCCTTTATTGAAATTCATTCCAAATTTTACCCTCCACCAAAAAAAAGGGAAAAAAAAATAATTTGCACAAGTAATATTCCAACTCAATTTGTTATTTTTTATTATGCATTTAATAAATGCAAAAAAAGGATAAAAATAAAAACAAAAAATTGCTCATTTTTTTTTATCACACTGAAATTCACTCCAAATGAGAGCCTAATTTACAACAACAACAAAACATAAACAAAAATAAATTTAAATTCACTAACTATTATACGTGTAATAATAAATAAAATTCTCGAGCATCTCAATTTCTCCATATAAAATTCCAATTTATGGTAAAAGAATTTGTATTTTGTGGCATAGCATCTCTCTCTCTCTCTCTCTCTCAGATGGAAAAGTTCAACAAGTCCATTGCCAAGTTCTCCATCATTAAGGCTTCCACTTCTCCACCACATTGATTTTTCCCTGCAATTTCCAATTTTTTTTAATTACATTTTCGACTTCCGTAAAAATGAATTAAATTACGTCGCCGCTAGCGCGAGCAAATATCTACTAGACGGTAAAATTATAGTAATTTTAACAAGATTATAAAAGTTGTGTTTCGAAAACTGGAAGTTGATGACTACAAGTAAGGTGGTGTTGCAAAAACTTATTTGAATGCAGAAGTTAATAATTGTGAGTTAAGTTGGTTTTAAGTGTTTATTTCTAGAAGTTGGAGATGTTTAATTTGTAATTACGCTAGAAAATTAACTTATATTGAAAAAAAAACAGTTCCAAAAGTGCTTTTAAAATTACAGGTTAAAATAATTTATTTTGAGAGAAGTAAGAATAAATGTTGATTTTTCAAACACTTAAGAACAAATTACGAGCAAAGAAAAGCTCATAAGTTAATTTTAAAAACTTTTACAAACACCACTTAAATCTCGAGACATTTTTTTAAAAAGTTAGGACTTGGGAGTATATCTGCAAATGTATTAAGAAAATCGATTTTAATTGGTAGTCTTTGCAAATAAACTTTAATTTCAGCTATTTTTTTGTAAAATACCTTAAATGCCCTAATAAAGTGCATTTTCCGATTTAAAAAACAAAAAAAAAAAGTCAACACAATTGTCCAATCTAACTTCCAATTTTTAGACCAGAAAACATAAATACTTTCAGAATTATACTTAAAACAACTTATTTCAAGAGAATAAAAAAATAAAGCTTATATTTACAATTTACAAACACCCGAAAAAACCCGTAACCTATTTTCAAAAGCTTATGCAAACGCGACGAAACATTTATAAAAAAAAATAAAAAAAAATTAGAGAAGACGAAAAACTCACCATAGAAAGAGGGTACTTTCGCGAGACTGAAATTAGGGCTCGGCATTTTTTTAAGTGGGCAAGACGAGAGCGGGAGAACCGGCAAATTCTGGCAGTTGCATATCTCAACCATATAACCATCCGGGTCATGGAAAAATATCTGATCCACAATTATTCCACCTTCAGTCACAACTGCTGTCACATATTCAATATTCATTTCTTCCAATTGACTTATAATTAGATTCATATCTGTGCATTGGAATGAAATGTGACAATCTTTTGGGTTTATTTTGCTCTTCTTTTTCTCTATGTTTTCCGCTTGTAGCAAATGGATTCCGATCCCGTGGTTGAACAGCCTGGAAAATAATAATTTTCGAACAAACTCTCATTAGTTTAGATACCGTTGTTTGAAATTCAAATCGTGTTACGTATGAAAAAACAGATAGAATATGATCTCGGCATGTGATTGATTCTAAGGTGGTGTTTGCTGAAAACTTGTTGAAAATCATAAGTTAATTATTGTTAGTTAAGTGTGTAGTTTGCAAAATTCGTGAAAAATCAATTTCCAACAACTTATTTTAGGAGAAGTTGGTCCAGGGGTGCTTACTGTATTTTAAGCTTCAAGTAGCTTATTTTAAGAGAATTAGAAGCAAAAGCTGGTAATGCAAATACTTCAAAAGTGATTATGAGCCCAAAAAAGCTCAGAATCACTTTTCAAAAGCTTTTACGACACCACCTAATTGTTTATTTCAAAAAGTTGAGGGTATTTGTAAATATTCTGCAAAATGAACTTATATAGAAACAAAAACACGGTCTAGGATGCTTTTAAAAAATAGATTGATACAGCTTATTTTACGAGAAGCAAAAATAAAAATTGATTTTACAGATATCTAAAAATAGGTTATGAAAAAAAAAAAAAAAAAATCAGAAGCTATTTATAAGTTTATTTACTCTATTGTACGTTTTGTAATTTTCTAAAAGAATAATGTTTGGTGCAAAATTTGGTGAGGGGGTTTTATCATTTATGATTTGTTTAGACAAGTGTGGGCCCCAAATTGTACAAAACGTGCAATGAACACAAAAAAGAGTGTTTAATTAGGTTTGACATTGTTGGCACGCAAGAAACTCATATTTACATCTTTAGTCCCTCAAAAAGGTTTTATTATCTATTATATTAAGCCCATTATTTATTACTATATTAGTTACATTGCCCCCTCAATCATGCAGCACATCTTAGAGTCATTGACTGGGGCAGTTTAACAGTTATTTGTACTCGTTTACTTTTTATTTTAATAACTGCCCGGCCCCTACATTAATTAATAATATTATAATAGCCCAGTTTCAATACAACTTTTCTCTCTCATCTTGAGTTTATGCAATTAAAGTTTTAATTTGTAATAGAAAATAGAGAGAGAAGCAAACAATAACACACCTAACAAGATTCATGAAAACTTCATATTAGTTAGTTCAAGAAAATCATTTAAGAAAAAAAAAAGGAAATTAAATAGGGCTAGCTAGCTAGCTAGTGGTTCAATCTAGAGATTGATTAAGCCTGAAAATACCGAAATTAAGTACAAGATCAAGAATAATTAGCATTAAGTAATGATGTTAAGGCCATAATGGGCTGGGGAGAGGAATTTCGCCTTTTGGTGCAATTAATGATGTTAATTATATGTTCAATTTCTTTTTCGCCATGCAATTTTTTATTTTTTATTTGTTGGAAATTTGATTTTCTATCTCTATGAAAGTAGCAAATTAAAAGAAAGAAGAAAAAAGTTAATACCAAGCTCCTTCAAAGTCAAAGGAAGAGGGCCTTTTGATGAGGACGAAACCAAGAACTTGCACATAAAATTCGACGGATTTCTTGATAGATTTGCAGACAAACGAGACGTGGTTGAGCGCAAGCAGAGGCATCTCGCGCTTCCCTACGCTAACGTTGTTGTTCGACAATGCTAATGATTTCGCCAAAACTTCTTCCATTTCATTAATATCAATCTCTTTCCCCATCTCTTTGTGTGTGTGTTTTCTTTTGCCTTTTGTGTGTGCAAAATTTGGCAAAGAAAAACTATGAATTGTATTTGGGTTATGTTGATATGAAGGAGTACATATGTATATATAGAGGGGGAAATGGTGAGAAGATGGTAGGTGGAATTGTTATTATTAATTAATCTTGTGATAAATAATGAAAGGAATTGAAAATTTTATACTTTTGGCTCTTTATGTTTGTATATTTAGAAATTTAGTCCTCTAAGTTACGTTGTTCTATTTCGATTTTACATGCAACAACTCTGCAAATTTGGCATCGTCTGTCCTATTTCACTTCCAACTTTTTCAATTTTAATAGTTGATAAGTGACACCGCAGAAGTTTACGTATGTGTAAGATTAAAAGTTAAAAAATGCTCATCTGACTTAATTCATAAAACTAAATTAGATTGACAAATTCCAAAAAAATGAATTTCCGATACATATATGCAAAATCCGTCAAATTTATTCTCCGCGCCATAAAAAGGAAGAAAGCAAAATAGGATCGAAATTTCAAAAAGTGCAAAGTTATTGCATGTAGAACTGAAATAAGAAAAACTTAGAGGACTAAATTGTGATATAGACAAACGTAAAGGACTAAAATTACAAATATTTTTGAAATAATGAATGATCCATGCATGTATGTATGTATGTATGTATATGTGTATGTATATAATTGGTTGATGATGAGAATCTGAGTCAATCCGACTTGGCATACACGTGATTCATTCGGGGGAATGTTACCCAATGATCTTATCCACCGACGCCCCCACCATATTTTGCCAGCAAATTAATTATTATTTCATCTACTTCTAACTCAATTCATCAATTTGATCAATATATTACAATTACACCCCTAACATATTAGTTTGTTACCACGTTTGACTCTATATTAATCAATTAATTAAAGTAAATATAAGGATGCATTTATAAAATAATGAAATAATAAAATCGTTACGGGACACGGATTTTGTTATCCCGCTTAAAAAAGAACGCAAATCGAGACTCATTTGAATTTGTATGAAAATGAGTTGGAATCGTATTTTTTTTGGGGGTTGACTAATTAAAGAAAATCACAACTACAGATGTGCACCGAGTAAATAATGTTTTCATACAATATATAGGTCGCAAATTATATGTACATTATTCTGGGGAGACTATGTGCGGCAAGTCGATCTAAAAAAAATTGGCTGAATATCATATTTATTTATGTTTTTGGTCTTTAATAAGATTTTTTTTACAACAATAATTGCTTTTGCTTTTATATCAATTTAAATTCTTGAAATGTCAAATGCAATAAAACTATATATTTGCAAGATATCTAGCTAATTAATTAACGTTGTTACCCTCTTAATGCAATAAAATATTTTTTTTTGGGCCAAATAAAAAATAAAAAAAAATTAACGTGGTCTTATAGTTTTTTTGACATTGTCATATCTAGAAATATCTCCCACTACCATCGACGAGTGAGATCCATGCAACTTGTACATTAATTCAGGGAATTTATTTTATTTTATATTATTTTTATTTTATTTTATTTTATTTTATTTATATATTTTACTTGTTAGTGGGAATGTCTCTGTGAATTAATTGTTTGAAAGTTGTTGGAAAATTGGAATCCCAGCAAGTTATGCACATGCTTTTGCCTTATAGAAATTATGATATGCAGTTGACCAACCTCACATCCAACATATAAATGCTTTTAAATAATTAAATATATTTAATTATATATAAAATTGATTTTATTTGCCTGAATGAGCATAAACAATTGTAAAATTGGTTGTCATTTATAGGATTTTAACAGCTAATATCAATAATTACTTAAATAAATATATAAATAAAAAGGTCATTCATCTTTTTTACTTTCTGTAACATTTTCAATTATTTTTATTGTTTCTCACCAATGTCAACGCGTTGACCTATTTTGATAGTATTAATAAAATATTAGCAATACTCTTATAAAATTACTACTAACAAATTATTTAAGTTTATTACATATATATAAGAGCCGTACGAACTAAGGATCCTCGCGTTTCGTCGATAAACGACTCATTAGTCATTAATTTTTAAAATAATACATAATGAATATGTTCTTTTAACATGAAAAAAAAAATTTATTTTCCCCTTTCACATTTATTTTTGTGTAATTTCACTATTTCGCTCCAACTATATACATATATGTATGTATGTATATATCATAAGTAAATGTGCGATTTCGATTGATGAAACATCAAACAAAATTTAATTATGTAACTAATAGTGTTTTTTCGACATAACTAACAATGTGGTATATATCATAAGTTCTAATAACAAAAGAAATCGACACGTATTTATGCAGGTCGATTTCGAGGGTTGGGTTTTTCAACCGGTCTAAATTGACAATATCGACGGCTCAAATTTGACCGTTAACCGTCGGGTCACACTAATTTAATTTTTAAAATCGACGCCCGCGATTGATTGATCGTCCAAGATTAAACAATAATGAAAGCATAGTCCAATGGGATGAAAGCCATCATATATATTACGTAATATTATTGTTTTTATGGGTAAATTACAAACACTCCTCTGAGGTATGGTCAATTTACAAAAAAATCCCTCTTGTTTGGATAATTATATCTATCCCCCTCAAGTATGATTTTTTTCTTACACCTCCACCCTTATGGTGTCAAATTCAACATAATCATCTAGATTTCGTGGAATGTGCTCTAGTTTGTACTCGTTTTGTGTAAAAATACAGTTTCCGATGCACCACAATCTGATATATACAAGCCAAAAAAACACATATTATGATCATCTTGCTTCAAAATGTAGAGTTCGAATGGGGAAAAGGGTACAAAAATGATAATATTCCATATAATCTCGAAGATTCCACTAAATTTGAGGAGTTGAGGGGGTGGTTGTAACTATCCAAACAAGAGGGGGGTTTTCGTAATTTGACCATACCTCAAAGAGCGGTTGTAATTTACCCTTGTTTTTATTTATTAGTACCCTATTCCAGTTCATTTTAATCAATAAATAATTCTTGCGTAATTTCTCAGAATATTTCTTGCGCGTAGAAGATTAATAACTTGCCAGCTGTTGGCCAATAAGAGTAACTTGCTCCAATAATTATAATTAAAAATAAATAAATTTAAATTGTAAGTTGTTCGATGATTTGAAGTGTATATATATAATTATACATATAAAACATAATATATATAATGTCAAGTTGATTAATCTCAACCATCACCCTGTCCACTACATTGGTCATTTTCTTGAATTTGTTACTTTCTTCTATTCTTCGCTAAAAGACGGAATCTTTCGTACCGTGGGCCCTCCATCTATTGACCCGACAAAATTTGATGAAAAAATATAAATTATGGTGATTCAACGACTCGTTAGGGCAGTAGATCTGAACCCGATGCCTGTAATGAACCAACTCTCACCAGATTTGAAATTCTCACAATACGACTGTCAGTACTCGATACTAGGACGTTGCACCAATTTACCACTTCAGCAGCCGGAATTCTTATTTATTAAAATTCAAGTGGTTGTATTGTATCAAACATATAACATGAAATAATTTAGTGGTATAAAAATATTATTTATATGGGGTCAATTCCACGTGTGTTTCTTCTCAAGAAAATGTATAAGAATAGGAGTGGTTGCGAAAAATGGATTTATGGCATTAATTAAATAGTTTTTAATTAATTTATCTAAGGAGAAAAAACCTCAAACTTGCATGAATGAAACTCTTTGATTTGATTGGGACAATCATTGATGTAATTAATCCTTGCGTGAAACATATTTTTTCCTTTTTAATTATTTTTACCACTAATTTGTTAAAGAATCGATTATTTATTTATTTATTTATTTATTAAATGCATGTTTTTTTGGGAATATCTTGAGTTTTGGATTTAATCGTGTGCGAGCAACTCCAATGCTAAATATTAAAATTGGATTATGAAATACTCATTTGATAATTAAGATAATATTTTAATACCTATTTACAATTTATCTACTCTAACTATGATTATCAAAATTAATAATTAATTGGAAGTTTTTTTGTGGTTTTATTTATAATTGTCACATGTCATTTTGTAATTGGATGTTTAGGTAGTTATCTTTTTGATAATTCAATTTCCAGGATGTATTTTTACATTAAAAAATGTAGAATATCAAAATACTTACCCATTACTTCCATTGGAGTAGAAATTTTTAATTTTGAAATATCAAAAAGTTGATTTATGGATTTGATAATCCATTTGATACTCCCATATCTCTAATAAGATTATAAGAATATGAATCCTTTTTCTTAATCAAATGGAAATCGATATTAGGCAGACCTCCAGTGGTAAGCCAGGATTAGAAAGTAGGGGGGGGGGTGAACTAAAATTTCGGGGTGCGGGAGAGCGCCCGAAATTTTTTTTAGGTTCTCAAGACACAGAAAAAAAAGGTTTATACTGCGAACATATATATATATATATATATACACACACACACACACACACACACATATATATATATATATATATATATATATATATATATATATATATATATATATATATATATATATATATATATATATATATATATATATATATATATTAATCATATTTCAAGCATGACAAAAAAATCTAAATTGTTCTAATAATATATTGGACTTAATGGGATTCATGGAACCGTCTCGTATTATTTTTAGAGACACTGATATAAAAAAATGAAAGATCGATAAGTAAATATTCATAAATTTTATTTAAAATAGTACAACTTTTAACCATTTTATTTTATATTTTTATATTAAATATGATATATATCTATAATTTATATAAAATTATGGAGAATAAATAAAAAAATTAAGGATTAAGACACATATTTACAAAACCTTTGGGAGGGGTCAGAAGTAATATTCAAAAAATATTATGTCAAAATAGTTAAAAAAAAAAATTTCGTGGGGAGTCAACTGCCCTCCGCCCCTTGGTAGTACCGCCCCTGCGGACCTCCAACCTTCAAGTCAGCTCAAATTATCATACGAATGGCCACAACACAAAAATGACATAATCAACAAAAACCACATGTACAAACATGAATC